AATCTGCACCATTATTACTACTATTACTGTAATTTGAGTTTGCCTTCTGGTTCTCCTAGCTGTTAATTAGCTTATAAAATAATTTGGAGATGAGAAGTCCAATACCAGAGTTTAGTTTTATAATAATCAAAATAATAATTAAGCATTGAGAAGGAAATGAACATGACAATCTGAGATTTCTGGAGTTTAAATGTATACACACAGTGGAGAATATTTTGTTTTGCCATGATTGTATTCTAGATAGAGCACCTGAGAGTGAGATATTTGATTAAGCTCTCAGTGCTTCAGACTTATAATCAGACAAATGAACGTACTGGAAAAAGCGTTACATTTATTCCACTGCCATAAGTTTGATTAAAATAGTAAAAAAGCACAATTGTGTTAAATTATGTTTACTATAAATGTACTTGCACGTTGCTTGGAAAATTAGCTTCCAATATCAGATATGTCTTAAGTTGTGGTAAGGGTTCAAAATGCTTCTTGGCCTTTTGTAATAGTACTCTTTGACTTTGTTCAATAGAGATCATGTGATTTAAGTCCTTTCCTGGCCCCAATAATTTGTCCTCTCTTGGTTTTTTCAGTTGGTTTCGCAGTGACTATGTGCCTGGTTGAAGATAGTTCTGCCTGAATTTGTTTAACCAGACTAATTAATTTTTTCTGTCTAATATTTAATGTTTGCCTCACTTCTTTTTAATATAATCCCCAGAAGAGTAAGATGGAGAGATTTTTTGTCTTAGCTTTTAATTTAAAGGATCGTATGGAAAATCTCAATCATATTCAATCACTTTCTCCAATCTTTTACTTTTCATTCCTTACGATTATGATTATTACTACATATTTTCTTCCTCTTTGGTCTTTGAACAAAATTAAAACGTACATTGGGAGAGAGGATGAATATTTCAAATTGCATTAAAGGGCCTGTAAGATTTCCCCTATAATCCAAGTATGCCTTTTAGATATCTCTGAACAAATATAAAAGGGAGAGAAAAAGACAAGAATTATACATTTTCAAATGATTTGGTATTTTGATTAACAATTAATCCAATTGTACAACACATTATACTGCGTGTGGAACAATTCTCAAAGTGATATGCATGGTGTTCATTTTAAAAAATACAAAGCACATAAAATATAATGATATAAAATATTCAATTTAAAATTATTTAACAGAAGTAGAAGAATGAAGAGAGACAGAGAGAAGAATTTCACTCATTTATATCAGTGTCATAAGAAAGTCCTAAGTGACTTCCTGTTCTGGTTCGCAGCGACTCCAGTCGTGTCTGGAGACTTGTCTCCACACCGCCTGGGTTTTTCTTCACTGGTAGACCCCTTGTGGGTCGCAAGTCGCCCTGGAGGGGCGACCACCGAGGAGGAGGCTTGCTGGAGACTGCGGGAGGGCGGCAGCTTCTCTCGTGGCTCCAGCTATTTTCTGAGAGCGGACGGAGCAAAAGATCGTCCTGTAAGATGGCCAATTAACCTGCTGCACCAGCTGAAAGTCACAGCAACATCTAAGCGTGAATAGATCCACCACGGATGATCCTGGTGAGACCCCTTCTCCTCCTCTCTTCACCCTATTTTGTTCTTTTTTTTTTGCCTGTAAAAACTCTGTTGGAATCATTTTCCCATCTTGAAAAAGCAGCTTTGGTATGTGTGGGAAGAAAAGCGCTGAACAAAAAGGTTAAAATAAAACTTTTTAAAGACTACACTTTATTCTTATCTACTTTGGGGTACAGAAAAAACCTTTTTTTTAAGAGCTCTACTATCATACTATACTGGAAGATTGTTTCTTTTTCCACCTTTTTCTCTAAAAGATAGAAAAAGGGAAAAATGGTGTCTGAAAAAGATTTTTTAACCTATTGAGGACATCTACTGGCGAAAAGTTAATATTGCAACTGCTGGTTACTGTTTGGAGATGAGATGGACTTGGCCTTCAAATTACTTTTGAAGAGAAAAGATAAGTGGATGCAGCTGTGGGAACTGTGGGGGTGGATACTGCTTTACTTTTATTGAATACAGCCTCCACTAAAAGAAAAAAAATGGACTCTCTTCAATTATTATTAAAATGGAGGAAACCTTATTCACAATTGAACTATAAATTTATATTGGAAAAGATCTACGAGGCTACTGAAGAAATATGTGCTACATTGAAAGGGATTTCTACAGAATTAAGAGTCAGAAGTCATATTCCAAACCTTCAAACTGACTTCCAGACAACATCTGACCATTCTATAAACCAAAACATACTAGAAGAGGATTTAATTGAGACTAAAGAGGAATTTATTTTACCCTACAAGCATTTCATCTATCCCTCTGAGGATCAGAAAAATCAAAGACTGAGATTTGAGCCTTTAAAGCAACGAAGCTTTAAGGATAAGAGAAATAGATGCCCAATGCAGAGGACGGGATGCTTCTTACTGTCTCAAATGATACTACAAGCAATAAAGAGAGACTTATTGGCTGAAAGGGAAGCTTTGTTATGGAAACCTGCCTGCCACAAAAAAAAGGCCAGAATAAGACTGAAAAGTTAAATTCAAAATTATATGTGATGGATCAAAGGCACTGTAGAATTATGGATTGATTTAACAATTAAGATTTAGAGTTAGAAGTAAGAAAAATGGGTGATTATTAGAATATATATTTTAAATAGATTAAGAATGTATTCTTTGGAATAATAGGTTTATTTGTATGAAAACTATTATGTAATGGAATGAAGAAAACTGAAGAGGCGTTTTAGATCTGGTTTGATTTAATAACTAATTGAGTATGTTAAATTAGTAAGATGATGTTCTTGTCTGATAATATGGATGTTATTAGGTATGATAATTAACTGGATGAAATTTGAATTTGGCCCAATGGGGGCTGAAATGATTTAAAGTCTGATATAATTTTGTTATTTTGTTATCTTAAAGAGATTGATTGATTGATTGATGGATTATATATGTATAGGATAGACTAATATTTTACTTTAATTAGGAGATATATTGTGCAGTGGAAAAAGAAATAAATGAGATTTGTGATAAAATTAAGGATTTAAGAGATTGAGATCTAGAATATATTTGGAAGGGATACCTGAATTGATAATTTGTTTCTTTAAAGTCAAATTTGATTATGTTAATTGTAAATTCACAAAGCTCTAAAATAGGTTTAGGATTTTTAGAAATTTAAATTAGAAATGGATTATCTTAAACGTATTAGGTTAATTGAGGGAAATAGAGAGGAAATATTTAATGTATTGATTTGAATTATTCATATATGGTTTTATTTCTGGATGTTTGATTAGCACCACGGTGTGTCTTAAGCACTTTGTTCTAAGAATCAAAAAACCCAAAAAACTTTCTTTTTTAAAAAGAAAGTCCTAAGTAAATCACCAGGTCTTTAGCAAGAACCTAAAAAATCAGAGGAAAAACCTTTTTAGTATCAGATTTAGAGATAGAATATTCAGTTCCCAACAGTTCAACCATAGCTGAAGAAAGAGTATTTCTCCTCCTTTATCAGCTGTTAAAGTCAAAATGATTTGTGAGAAAACAAGAATGAATTTCTATATTAATAATTCTGTGTGCGTACACTTTATCTGAGCATGAATCCAAATGCATCCTGTACTTTAGAGGTCCATCAAAATTCCTAAGAACAATATAAGCAAAAAGGGCATTGTTTATAACTGTTCATCTCCCACTAATAATAATAAATAGTAATGTTATATGAATACTCAACAAATCTCTAAAACCATCCCCATCACAAACACTTTTCTCACACAAGTTTGCTTTCTCATAAGAAATCTGGAAAGTAAAATGTCATATGTGGTCAGCAAAGCTCCAAGTGTCCTTTAAAATGGTAGTAAAGAGATAGATAAAACTGACTTAGAGTTTTTGCAAGCCCAGTTGTTAGATAAAGTGGACAAATGGTTAATTAATATATAGACACATATGTATATCTTTGAGCTTTTGGAGGAAAGCTGAAATATAAATCTAACTAATATATGAAATTTGTTTGTTTGTTTGTTTAGGACTTCTACCTGTCTATTACGAACTAATGCTGGCTGACATGAAGATCTCACTTAATTTCACACTTGTTCTCTTAGGGAAGGTTGTGTTACACAATATTGATTGTGTTATTCCATGGCCAGAGAGTTTTATAGCATAAGCTACAATAGAGAGAAAAGAAAATCTGAAATATTCAATGTAATACAGAAATATTATGATCTAACTGAAAAGCGCTTAAATGAGGATGAAAAGACCATGATTTCTGTTCTTCATATCATCTCAATTACTTAGCTTTTAGTTATCACCACTTTATAATGTGTGTTGGATAAATATGTTTTAACAGTTGTTATATTGTGAATTGTTTTTTGTTTGGTAGGTGATGGGTTTGCTTTTCTTTCTTGTAAGCTGCCTAAGCATTTTACTGGAAAGGCTAGATAAAAATATACATATCTGTAATATAAGAAGCAATTCTTATGTTCAATGTTGCTAAATGCAGCACATTATAAAGGAGTTGGTTTCATAACCAAGAATTGGTTAGGAAATGTAGCACAAAATATATGTGTTTTACAATAAGCTCTTGTTTCATATTTTCCACTTCCAGTTTTGACATTGATTGTGTTAGGAGATGATGCCACGAAATACAGGGAGTCTTTGACTTACGACCACAATTGAACCCAAAATTTTGGTTGTTAAGCAAGATGGTTTTAAGTGATTTTTTCTTCACTTTACAATCTTTCTTATCACAGCTGTTAAGTGAATCACTGCACTTGTTAAGTTGGTAACACAATTGTTAAGCAAATCTGATTTCCCCTTTGTCAGAAGGTCACAATAGGTGGTCACACAACCCCAAGGACACTGCAACCATCATAAATATGAGTCATAAGTGTGAAAAATGGTCATAAGTCACTTTTTACAATGTCAATATAACGTTGAGCTGTCACTAAATGAACTGTTCTAAGTCAAGGACTAAGTTGTGTAGAGACAAACATAACACGATGTATTTTTGTTTTTCTTTTCTAGGTAGCTATAGATTTTACAGCCTCAAATGGTGATCCTCGGAACAGCTGTTCTCTCCACTACATCCATCCATATCAACCAAATGAATACTTGAAGGCACTAGTTGCTGTTGGGGAAATCTGCCAAGACTATGACAGGTGAAAAATTATGTTTTTTCAGAGTAATTTCTAAATATCTATCAAGTAATATGATATTGATAGTTGTAGAGCAATACTAATTCTATTGCACTAAAAAAGAACAAGCATCATAGCATAATTGCACTACAGTACATACAGTGTTTTGATAAATACTACCTAGTGAGATCTTGATTAGAAATCCCTAAAACTTCATAAATGTTGTTTAGAAATTTGTACTCTGAACATCAGCTATTTCCTTAAACATGTATGTGCATATTTTCAAATAGCTCCCACAACTTCCATTGCTACACCAACAATAAAATGTAAAATGTACATACATATGTCTGATCTGGCATAACACTCATTTTAGCCTTATTTTGAATTATGACTCACATACTTATTGAAAAATAATTCAAACTAAGGATTAAAACAGTTCTAAGCCTTTAGTATTGGCTATTCCAAGACTTTTTATTAAACACTTAATTTGCAAATGTTATATAGTGATAAAGTAAAATTGCATGTTATTTCTTGGGTAAATCTGTGTTATGTTTAATACTATAATTTGGATATAACTGTCTTCTCTGTAAAGTAGTAACATTTCTTTGGTTCGCTTGAAATATAATGTCTGTCATATGAAGTATCATGAATACAGCGGTGGGATTCAAATATGTGAACAACCGGTTCTCTGTATGGATGCCGCTTCCAGAAGTCCATTCTGGGCCTGGGCAACAAAAAATTAGCTACCAGTGGAAACCGGCTGAATCCCACCACTGCATGAATGTGTATACCAGATAGAAATACCACACTGACAATAAGTATCTTGACAACTGTTACTACTTCTGCTTCTGATTTATTCTTGAGGCATTTTTTGGTGTCTTCCATGTAATTAGTGGAACAACCTGCCTCCAGAAGCGGTGAATGCTCCAACACTAGAAGTTTTTAAGAAGAGACTGGACAGCCATTTGTCCGAAATGGTGTAGGGTTTCCTGCCTGAGCAGGGGGTTGGACTCGGTGACCTCCAAGGTCCCTTCCAACTTTATTATTATTATTATTATTATTATTATTATTATTATTATTATTATTATTATTATTATTATTATTATTATTATTATTATTATTATTTGCATCATAATGATGCTGCCTTTCAAAGATAAGTAAAGGACTTGAGTTGACTACTGCTAGAATGAAACTTCTGAAAATTAGAATAAAATCTCCAGAGTGGGAACACTTATGTATGTGACACCTAAAGACTTTGATAAGAATTGATTATAATCAGAGGCCATCACTCAACCCTTTGTCACAAAATCATACAATATCATTTCTTAATATAGTTGTAGGAACTGAATATTTAATCAATAGACAAGTTCTCCAATCTACAATCCATTAAGCAAAGTTTAAGGTTACTAGAATGAGTCAGGATGAGCACAGAAGGGTGCCTGGAATTTTCTGTTTACTCATGACTATGTACATTCCTGGGAATCGTTATGTTTCCCTTTTTTTGCAACTTGTGATTTTAATTTTAATTTATAATTTGACCTAATCCTAGGTACTGTGTCTATCTTGCCTTTCATTCCAAATTATATAATTTATGGCAAGGATAACCAATCCATGGCTCACAGGTCACCTTTTATGAGCCATGAAACTATTGCTAGCCCCTAATTTTTCTATATATGCCTCCAAAATGGGCTGCAACATGATTTGTCATAATTTTACTGTGACTGAGCACGTTACTAATTTTCACGAAATAGCCACTTTAAAAATATATATTACCTTTAGAGTAAGTGATCTAAAATCTAGGTCAGTGGTGGCGAACCTTTTAGAGACCGAGTGCCCAAACTGCAACCCAAAACCCACTTATGCATCGTCGGGTGCCAGGTGGGTGTGGCCCATTGAGTGGGCGTGGCTGAAGTGATAACGGCAGACTGGGTGGGACTAAAAAGTTCAATCAATCAATTCCAAATTTGCCAGATCTTTTTTTTCCCCGCGAGAAGTTGAAATTGACTGATTGAACCTTTTTTTTTTTTTGTACATGGTGGCAGAGGCCTAAAGCGAAAAGGTTTTATAAAACCCAGCTGAAGGCCTAGGACTGGGGCGACGGTGTGCATGCCCACAGAGAGGGCTCTGAGTGCCGCCTCTGGCACCCGTGCCATAGATTCGCCACCACTGATCTAGGTAATCTGAGCTAAAAAAGAGGAGTTGAGAAAAACATTCAGTAAAATGAATAAGCTACAATGACATCCTGCTTATCATGAAGTCTATAGCTAATGCAAATTACATCAGTCACATCATTTGCACAATGTCTTTGTTAATCATATGACATGACTTGCTCCCCTTACTCTTCCTTTCCTTGGTACCCATGTGAATGAATTTCCATTTGGAAACATATTGAAATTGGTATGTTAATTTTTAAAACTGCACTTTTTCATTCTTTTCAAATGCCCCAAATTATGATAAAATAATTGTGTAGGTATGCATCAGCATGCATGTCTTCCAGTCTGAGAAAAAGTACAGCTGCCTGAAAGGATTACATATAGGGGACATATTTATCCCAAAAATGCTGCAAAGCACCTTTTTTGTCCTTGAATCTGAAAGGCTGCATAGTTTTACTATTTATTACACCTGTTTTGAATCTGCTTTATACTAAGTGGTCTTCTCCCATAATATAACAAAATATGGACCTGGGATTTTAACTAATATTTAATTAAGGCTATGCGACATTGCAGATTCATTCGTCAACAAGTGCTTTGGAGCACATGGCAGCCTTGAAGGAGCAACACCTATCTTATTTTAAAGGAGCCATGACCGCTGTTGTGCACATTGGAGACAGGTATTCAGTTTCAGCTTCTGCTTTTGGAGACTGAATACTCTCTAGTAAAGTTTTAGGTGGACTTTTGCGTCTGATTGCTATTGGTTTGATATTTATTACCCTTTAGATCAGTGGTTCTCAACCTTTTTAATGCCGCGACCCCAACCGGTCGTAAGTCGAGGACTAAACCAGTCATAAGTCGAGGACTAAACCGGTCGTAAGTCGAGGACTACCCAACCGGTTGTAAGTCGAGGACTTTCCCTGCTCAGGAGCGCCGCGCATGCGTGGTTACGCCCCCTGCGCTGGCCGAGGCGTAGCTGGTAAGCGGCAGAGACGGAGCAGGCCGACCACCAGCTGGTCCAGCCCAAGGGAGGTAAGGCACCCGCCGGAAAAGGCGGAAAAAAATGGCGGACAGCCTTGCTTGGCGACCCCCATGAAATGGTCGATCGACCCCAAATGGGGTCCCGACCCACAGGTTGAGAACCACTGTTGAAAGCTAAATGATATTTCTTCTTTAACTGAAGGATAGTTAACCCATCATCGACCTTGTAAGAGTGCAGATCAAGTTGATATCCAAGTATATTCAGCTGATTTTTCTGAAGTTCAGTGTCATTTTCAAGTTTTTCTTTCAAACTCCTTTCTTCATCCACATTTCATTCAATAGTGCCTCAATTTTTCCATATCAGGGAGGCCAAACCCCCCCCTT